TAAGTTTTTATCCGACATCGATCTTTGACGTCGTCTCTTCTAATGCAATCATAGAAAAAATTGACCAGAGATTTCCAAATAATGATAGTAATATCGTTTATGTTTTTGGTGTGCTTGGAATGAAGCCAATATCATTCTGTTCTCAAAAAGACCTTGAAACATGGGGTAATGAACATTTAGAAACACTTGTCTGCCAGTATGGAATGCCTAAGGTGTCCACACCTCTTAACAACCAGACTCCTGTGACAGTTGAACCAATAATTGATGCAGAAACTACAAGAAAAGAGTGGTCTCTTGTGAAGCCATTGGTAGTCAAAGCTGGTTATCAAAGAGACAAAATGGCTGATTTGTGGGGAATGATTAACAAGTATCATAAAGATGATTTTCCAAATTTGTTAACTCTGGCCTCATTGGCCTTAACTGCCCCAATCCATACTGCTGATTGTGAAAGGGGTTTCAGTGCCCAGAACCAGATTAAAACAGCTGCTAAAAATAGGCTGTCCTCTGCAAGAGTTGATGACTTGCTAATAGTCAAACTTGAAGGTGACCCAATTGAAACATTTGACTTCAATGCAGAATTACAACATTGGAGAAAATCTATATTAAATCTAGATCTTAAGTTGAATTAATGTTTTTATTTCACATGAACATCTTTGAACATTTTATTACTAAGTAGCAAACATTAACAACCATTACTGTACAGTTGTAACCTCTTTAACCATCTTCTTTTAATTTGCCAGTTAACTGTAATGTTGTTATTGTAACACAAAACTGGAAATAAAACTACATGTTATAATGTAATATAATCAGTTCTATGTTTGACTTGTGTTGACCCAAGTTTTGGCAAAATGGTCCCATTTTTGGGGGGTCATGGGGCCATTGGACCCCACTTTTTTCAAACCTTGGCACAACCCTGCACTATTTCCAATGCTTTGGTGTTAGGCCAACCATTGACAACTTTGTGTGGTTGTTTGGCGATATTTCATTTAGAAGTACAAATTTAAACGAAAAGTTGTGGCATATACAACAGCACTAATCTTTTGTACAATAGCCGTTGAGCAACAGGCCATTGGCCTATTTTTTTAATGACGTTTGGGTTAACACTGTGTTAACAATGTATTAGTATTATATAACATCATATAGTTCAGTAGATCCTCACAATAAATGTTTTTTGTTTAAAATTTCTTGATGTTTTGTTTAATTTCAGAATATATTTCTCACAAGACGTGGCATAGTCAAACTAGGAGATTTTGGTATAGCTAAAGTTTTAAACAGGTGAGTGATCAACTGAATATCAACTATATAGAATAGTTGCATGTACTACCACACATTGGTAGTGAACAATAAATGTGACAACACATACCTAATGTATGGTTTAATATTCCGTCCAATTTGACTCCAATGACCACTTTCCAGGCTTACAGCATTCATATTTGGAAGAATGACATGCTTTCTGAGGGGAAGTAAAGTTGTTAGCCTATGTACTGTTCCTGTCTTTGGTCACGTCTTTTTAGTCCCCGTTCGTCTGTCCGTATGCAACTATATCTCGGACACCATTGACGGATTTTATGACAAACTTTACATGAAGACAATACATAATGTCTTACATATGCGCGTCAAGTTACTTTATGATCAGAGAAAAAATGGCTGACTGGCGGCCATTTTGGATGTAAAATTTGCTATTTCTGATACCTAAACGTGTCTGCAGCAGTTTCTTGGAGATGACTGGGCCGATTTGGATCAAAGTTGGTATGATGATCATACATATTGGGTTTGTAGGTGCACGTCATTTTTTTTTTCGTGATTCGAACAAATATGGCCGACTGGCAGCCATCTGGTTTTTCATGGTACCCATGCTACTTTATCTAGAATGCCATGAACATATCTGTTCAAATTTTGTACAAAGATAGTATACCAAGAGATACATCTGCACTAACAAGATTTTTGTGATTCGATTCAATATGGCTGGCCGATCCCAAATTTCCTGTAAAAGCATTAAATCGTAATTTTTTACTTGTCCGAGGCTGTTTAGATCAAAGTTGATATGTTGATCATACATATTGGGTTATAGGTGCACGTCATATTTTTTTCGTGATTCAAACAAATTTGGCTGACTGGTGGCCATTTTGTTTTTTCATGATACCCGTGCCCACTTTCCCATGAATGCAATGAACATTTCTGTTTAAATTTTATACAAAGACAGTATACCAATAGATACATCAACATGAACATTATTTTTGTAATTTGATTCAATATGACTGCCCAATGTCCAATTCTCGTGTAAAAGCACTGAATCATATTTTTTTACAAATCCATCTCCTATTAGTGGTTTCAATCTAATCTCAATGACTTCATCAGCATCAAATTAATATGTCAGATCACAAAATTTTGGACGGGGACTGTGTCATTAACAATGACTTGTTTTCCCTAAAGATTGGCAGTTGCATGAAAACTGACATATTTCACTCAATGTTTGTTTGAGTTGTGTTGTGTTGTTCTCATTTCTGAGTCTGTAAATGGGCCCTGAGCTCATCGCCAGAAGTGATAGTATGAGTTGGTAATATTCATTAATCTTATAAACACTGGCTAAAATAATAAGTGGTTGTGTCTGTTTATATTATCCAAACATTTGTTGTTTGTTTTCCAGTACTGTAGAACTTGCCAGGACATGTATAGGTACACCATACTACTTATCACCAGAAATATGTGAAAATAGACCTTACAATAACAAGAGGTAAGTCATCATAAAATCTATCTATAATCTTTTAACAAGTGCTACATATGGTTGACCAATTAATTACTTTTTTAATACTTTATTACCGGATTCTGCCATAAATTCGCCCATCCGAAAAATCGCCCTGGGCGGTTTCACGGCTAGTGGGCCCTTATTTGGAGTTCAAAATTTCAAAAAATGATCATCAAATAGTGGTAAAGGCTTATATTTTCATTGAAAAATCCACCAACACCGATTTCCAACGCCGGCAGTTGGACCACCCAAAACGAAAGAAACTAATTTAAAATTTTATACAATTTTTTTCTTGCTGGATCACATTAACCAACCTTGTGCGCCAAATACAATTATTTTGTTTCATTTTATTAGTAACGAAAGTATATTCTAAAAGAAGTTTCAAATAAAAACAAACCCAACTGCATTTTCAGTAGCAAATGGTCGTGGTAGCGCAATTCGGTCATGCTGCGTTTCACAATTGTTGATTATTACCTATTAATGTTTCTAATAACGTGCTAAAAATGAATTCGTTGAATTGTTATAAAATGCAAATAAATTTCAACTTATTTCATCGTAAACAAATGATTCCAATCTCATTTTCAATGCTCGATGCTGTAGAAATGAACATCCGCCTTGTTTTGACCTGACCTGACAGGTCAAATCAATAATTAACCAATGAAAACGATGGATGATGCCAACGTGTTCAAATTACCATAACACATTTAAATATG